TTGGGTGGGAATAGGGCTTCTCCAGATTTTATTTTTATTAATTTAATTATTTTTGGTACCAGGGATCGAGCTCAGGACCTTGCGCTTGCAAGGCAGGCATGGTGCCACTGAGCTAAATCCCCAGCTCCAGATTTCAAATTTGTAATAAAGGCAATCTTTTTTGTTTTTTGTTTGTTTGGTACCGGGGATTGAACTCAGGACCTTGCACTTGCAAGGGAGGTGCGGTGCCACTGGGCCCGATAAAGGCAATCAAAGAAATAAACTTTTGCAATTCTTAGGGATAAAAAAAACAGAAAGAAAGAAAAGAAAAAATCGTAGACATGATAGCTAAGGCTAAGTAGAAACATAGTAAGCCCAAGGTACAAGTTCAGCTAAACAGGAACATCTTCTGAGAAAGTCCCACAGTAAAGAACAGACAACATGAAGAAATGCAAAGGCAGATTGGCAGGGGGACCCGGGAGCACACAGGTGGCATTGGGGAAGATTGTCCCCACCCAGCACTCAGCCAATGAGGGAAAAGAGGGAGGCCCTTCATGCCGGGTTTAAAGTGCTCTTGAGCTGTGAGCACCTGGTGTGCCTCGTCCTCAGAGACCAGAGTTAAAGCTTCATTCTTCACTCTCTTCTCGCCTCAAGTCCATTCTCTGGGTCTGGACAAGTGAACACATTTCTCACAGGGGTTCAGTTTGTTTGGGTTCCAAGTTAGGCTGCAGTTCCTTACATAAGGACTGAGGGTGTGGAAACAGTCTCAGACCCAAGTAAGTTTAACTTAACAGCGAACATACAGAAAATACTTACCCTCCATAAGCCAGTAATATATTTTATTAGCTTACTAAATAGGCAGCATTTAACAATACCATCCATCCTCAAGTCTAGCAAGGAAGTGAGTTTGGATAAAACCAACTTATTTATTTATTATAGTACTAAAGGTTGAACCCAGGGCTTTTGGACTGAGCTACATTCTGAGTTCTTTCAAAAAATTTTCATTTTGAGACAGGATCTCACTATGTGACCAAATTGCTCAAATTTATGATTGTCCTGCCTTGGCCACCTAGAGTGCTGGGATTACAAGTATGTGCCACTATGCCCAGCTCTGCTTTTGATGTTAGTTATTTTTAGTTTTTGGTTTACCAGGGATTGAACTCAGGGCCTTTTGCTTGCCAGGCAGGTACGGCACCACTGAGCTACATCCGCGGCCCTACTTTTGATCTTGATAGGCATTACTGTTCCCCTTTAAACAGGTTAGACCCAAATCAAGTGTGGTGGCATAATCTTAGCACTGGGAGGCTGAGGCAAGAGGATTGCAAATTCATGCCCCGGCTGGGTAACTTATCAATTTAGCGGGCCCTGTCTTAAAAACAGAAAAATTCAACGTGGGCATATGTTTTTACCCAGCAATTCCACATCTAGGAAATCATTTTACAAAAATACTTGAGCCAGGGGCTGGGGATTTAGCTCAGTGGTTCCACCGCCTGCCTCACAAACTAAGGACCCGAGTTCGATCCCTGGTACCAAAAAAAAAAAACAAAAAAAACTTGACTCAGGGTTTAAAAATCTGTTTCTTCCATCATAGTGATAAATAATTTAATCGTCCAGCAGTAAGGTACTGGTGGATAAATTATGGAATATCTATATAATCCATACAACGAATAGACAAAGGAATGAACTAGGTCAGTAACCAGATTGGGGGCTTGTACAGGCTTTTGATGCTCCGAACGGAGAACTGAGCAGGACACCCAAAAGGAGCAGCAAGATCAAAGAATGTCTTGGAAAGTGAAAATCCACCCCACAGGACAGGAGTCACCCAGGGAGACGAGCTCACAGTCCTAGCGGGATTGGTGCTGAGGTTTTAAGCATCAGGGTTTGAGGCAGGATTGAAGGACTGGTCTGGACTTGACCCCTGCCAATGTGCAGGTTGGCTGGGCACTGCCCTGGGTCAGGAGACATTTTGTCATTTTATGGTGTTTGGAGGGACCTTCAGGCGTCCAAGGCCCATGGTGAGTTGGAATTAGCTGGGTCAATGGGGTGGTAATTAGGGTGGGGTTGGTCAAGGGCTGTGGAAGAGACTCCTGTGTACAAGTTACCTGGTTACTTTCTCCCATTGTATTTGGACTGGGATATCCTGTTCTGGGGCTAATGCTTAACTCAGAAGGGAGGTCTAATCCCCCAAAAGCGAGCACCCCCAGGGGGGGCCTTCCTTCTTTCTCCAGACTTTCCTCAGCCCCCTCCTGCCTCAGGTCTCTACCTAGTGATATGGGAAATCCCTACGTAAATACACTGAGAAACGAAAAAAACCTAGCTAGAAAACAGAATACCTAGTGAGATTTTATTGATTTAGTATGGTATTAGGGTTTGAAACCAGAACCTTCACATCGAGTTACCTCCCCAACCCTTTTTTACTGTTTATTTTGAGACAGGGTCTCTCTCGCTGAATTGCTAAACTGCCCAGGCTGGGCTTGAACTTGTGATCCCCCTGCCTCAGCCTCCCAGAGTGCTGGGGTTATAGGCAAGCCCAAGGCCCCACTGTACCCATATTTGAGTAAGATTTAAAGAACAAGATGCGCTCAAAGGTCACATTATCACCTTCTGCAACTCCCACAACTAATCACCTCCCCTCTTACAGTGAACAATCACCCTCTTCTTCAGACAAGGTCATGTTATGTCTAAGGCTGGCCTTGAACTTGTGATTCTCCCTTCTCAGTCTCCCAGCTTCAATTTTTCGGTGGGGGTGGGGGGGCGGTTGGGAGAAGGTCTTGCTATGTATTCCAGGGTGGCCTCGAACTTATGGCGATCCTCCTGCCTCTGCCTCCAGAGTGCTGGGATTACAGGCATGTGCCACCACGTCCAGCCTCAATTATCTTTCTTTAAAGTACTTATGCTCATTTGACATTGTCTTTGTCCCTGTTCTGTTGCTATAAAATACAAATATTGAAGACTAGATACTGTAATTTATGAAAAGTAGAAGTTTTGTTCACTATACCAGAAGCTGAGAATTCTGCTGGCCCTGCGATGCGAGGAGGAGGAAGAGGAGGGCGGGGGGGGGGGAGCACGGCCCCGCAGCGCAGGGGCTCGGACGCCTGGAGGAGAAGCCCCGAGGGGGCGCAGAGGAGGAGGATGACAAGGAGGACGACGACAAAGACGAGGAGGTGGTGGACGGAGATGACCAGGATGGCGAGGAGCGTCTGGTGGTCCTCCGACCGGGCCGCTCCCCAGGGCCCTACCTGGGGTCTGAAAGTGGGGAGCATCAAGCCGGAGGTGACCTTTACATCTCATGCTGAGGTCTTTAACCGTGACTCCGGTAAGAAAATGTCTCATCACCTGTTCCCCTTGGCCATGGAGGAAGATACGAAAATGGGAGACGCCAAGGAAGCCAACCGGGTCCTTGACCACGAGAAAGAAAACACTCGATCCAGCTGTCTCCTTGAGCAAAAACGAAAAGTTGTTTCTTCCAATATTGATGCGCGTCCAGCAAGAAAGTCTTCAGAGGAACTAGACCTGGACAAGGTGACAGCAGCAATGGTACTGACCAGCTTGTCAACCCGCCTGTCGGTTCGAAGGCCTCCTGTGCAGCCAAATGAGGCCGCAGCGGTCCTGGAAGGAGGCGGGGTGGGTGTCCAGGGCCCGGACCTTCCCATCCCCAATTCAAGCAGAACAGAAACTCCTTGTGCCAAAAGCGACGCTAAGGGGATGACACCATTGAGCCGCTCGGCTCCCACCACGCTCCACCTCGTGCACACCGTGCACGCTCACCGGGCCACGCCCCTGTGACCACTCCGGGTCAGCCAAGTTCAGCCCCAAGGCCAGCAGCTTCAGCACTTCTTGGCAGCCTCCCCCAGTCACTTTCACAGGCATTCCAGTAAGTAGAAGGACAAGCCGGCATGTAGGCAACGCAAAATGTTAATTTATCGATAAAACTATAGAAACATGCAAGTCAGAAGGGCAAAACCACTGTATTTCCTAAGCAATATTTGTAAGCTCATCAGCAAGGCATCTATCTCATGGTTCAGGCAGGCCAAGGCGGAAAGATGTTTTGACTGGCATTTTAGAAAACTAGAAGAAAGTTTCAATTGTTGATAAGTAAGTTGTTGGAAATACATTTTGGTGGTGGTGATATGTCTATGTTTCCTAAAGATATTTAGAATAGTTGAACTCATACCTTATATGGAAAGGTGTTATTTGTCATTATAAATAACTTTATACAGTCTGTTATTTTGAAGTCCCAGAGTGCTGGGAACACAGGAGTGCACCACCATGCCCGGCCCATTTATTTCAGAGAATGTGGCTCTAAGAAAGTATCTCCATGAGCTGACACTAAATGTAGTTGCTGCTAAAATATATTTTTGTAGTCCTTTTCCAGCTGCACTTACATAGTCTCATTTGGCCTTTAAAACAGTCCTCTGAGGGCCGGGGATTTAGCTCGGTGGTTTCGACGCCTGCTGTGTAAGCGCAAGGACCGGAGTTCCATCCCCGGTACCCAAAAAACAAAAAAAAAAAACAAAAAACAAACAAACAAACAAAAAACAGACCTCTGAGCAGGGTGTGGTGGCACATGCCTGTAGTCCCAGCACTCCGGAGGCTGAGGCAGGAGGGTAGTCCAAGTTCGAGACCAGCCTGAACTACATAGTGAGAACTTGTCTCACCAAAACAAAACAACATAGAAAACATTCCTCTGAAATACATAAAATACAGAACAATGCTTGCAGTCTATGGTTTGCCAACGCCATTATTTCAATTGATGATCTAAGGGCTGTACAATCCGCTTGTATTTTATTCTCCAGACCACTTCGAGTTTTGGGAACACTCCTTCCTATATTTGTAAATATTTATTGCCTTTGTTCGAGAATCTTCTTCCCTGCAGTCATCCTTAAAACCCAGGTCACCACGGAAGCCCACAACCCACACCGGAGACGTCACTAACCAACCCCATCCCCACCCTGCACCCAGGACTCCGCCCCCGGGGCCCGGAGCCCCGCTGGCCCCGCCCACGGCGTCGGCGCCGGCTCCGATGTCTCCGCCCCCTCCGTGGAGTTTCCCGAAAGCCAGCGCGGTAGGCCCGGCTGCGCTAAGATGGCGACTCCCATGCATCGCCTCATAGCCCGCAGACAAGCGTAAGCGAGGGGCGGGCTCGGTCCCCGGGCGGGCTGGGGGCGGGCTGAGGCTCGGCAGCTGGCCCGAGAGCAGGCGCCGGGTGTGGGGCCGGCGTGGGACCCCCTGTAGGGACTGGGGGAGGATGGGATTTCTCAAACAGGTTGGCGTGGCTCGGCCCGGGGGGCTAAGTTTGGTGACCCCGGCTACTGATGTCGCAGAATACGGTTTGGTTTCTGCGAAGGGAGCGGTCAAGAGTTGATCGCTCAGTGGTTTATGTCCCTTTTCCACCTCACGCGTGGCCGGAAAAACCTCAATCTTTACTCCCGACAGCTTAAACTTCAGCTCGCTGTGCAGCCTCCAGCCCAGCTGTCTTTTCTTACTTTGTTCCTTTGGCATTCCGTAGAAACAGCCAGCCAACAGCAAGGCCAATTCTTTCCTCTTTCCTCCAGCTGTCTTTTCGCTTTGTGTTATTCATTCTGTCCTTCAGTAAATATTTACTCAGTACCTACCGTTGTATGCTAGAGTTTGAGTATTAAGAAAAGGAGGTGTTGAAGACAAAATCTTTGTTTTCAAGAGCTTACATTGTGGTGGTAGAAACTAATAAACAGAACAAGTGCACATGTTACACCTGGCGATAAAAAGCTTTACAGGAAATAGATGTAATGGAAAAAGGAAAGGCCCATTGTAAGTTGGTTAGACTGGAAAAGCATGTCGAAGAGGTGGCATTTGAGGAGCGATTCCAAGGATGAGAAAGGAACCTGATACAAGAGTATTTGGAGAAGGAAAGGACTTAGGACTTTGGTTTGGTTTTTGAAACAGAGTCTTGTTAAATCGCTGAATTTCCAAGGCTGGTCTCAAACTTGCCATCCTCCTACCTCAACCTTCCAGAGTGGTGAGATTACAGATGTGCGTTGTGACCCTGGGCTAAGAATTTGGTAAGATCTCAGAGATGACCATTGTGCATATGAGCAAGAGAGAGTGGCAGAAGAGGGTTGCAAATCGCAGATATTGCAGAGGTCCACTCAGATTTCCCTTAACTGCCTTTCTTCTACCAATCTGCACACTCCAACATCTGCCACATTTTCATTTTCTCAGCATTTTTTTTTTTTTTTGGTACCGGGGATCGAACTCGGGTCTTTGCGCTTGCACTTGCGTAGCAGGTGGCGAAACCACTGAGCTAAATCCCTGGCCCTTCTCAGCATTTTAAGGTCATCACCATTTGTGTTTCTGTAATATATAGTTTACAGTCTGCCACTACATACACCTGTACATAATTGTTTATACTTCTTTTTATTTTGTATTCAGATATCCTTATTCCTTTTCTTTTTCTCTCTCTCTCTCCGTATACTCTGTTTCTCAGGCCTGATGAGATTTCCTTCAGTATAAGGATAAAGACTTACAGATTCAGAATAATAAACTTGGAAGACTTTGAAGTCAGGGAGTTCTGAGATCAAGAATGGGACAATAGGGGTCTGGAATTTAGCTCAGTGGTTCCGCCATCTGACTTGAAAGTGTAATGTCCTGAGTTCGATCCCCGGTACCAAAAAAAAGAGTGGGAGAATAATAGTAATTAATAGGAGTGCTAAATTATGTCACTAGGGTCCCAATTCTCCCTCTCTGTCAGCTTTGCCCTTTTGAATGTTGGCTCCAAGCATGAGACTATTTTGGTCCCAAGTGGCTGCAGTATCTAGGGTCTTTTATATTCTCTTAGCTACAAATTTATCACACCTCATTGGTCTCGATGGATTATACACCCAACTCTATGCATAAGGGTTTGTAAAAGTCTGACTTAAAGATCTTGTTTTTCTCCTAGCTCAATTGAATGGATGGACATAACCAGTGAGGAGTTGGGTGGGTAAATCACAGGAGGTAAATGAATGATGGATTGACAAGTCCAGCCAATATTCACTGTGAAAAAAGACTTCTAGCATCTAAATAATGCTATTTCTTGTTTCAGAAGTATCAGAAAGTTGGTCAGGGATTTAGCTCAGTGGTTCTGCCACCTGCCTCTCAAGCACAAGGTCCCGAGTTCAATCCCTGGTACAAAAAAAAAAAGTATCAGAAAGTTAAGTAAATGTGCAATTTTTAACAGTGTGCCTAATTTTTGGTTCGTGAGCTACTCAGAAGTTAGAGATGGAGGGGATAGTCTGGCCAACTTCCTCCAGTAATGCAATAAAGACCTTGTAATTTAAAGAAAAGAAGTTAGGGATAAATTATTACCCTTAGGAGCTTCTGGTCTCATTAGGAAGAAAATATGGCATGTATGATAATAACTGTCATGGTGTATACAGACTTTAAGTCCCCCAGAGATTCAGACAAGGAAGGCCCTCATAGGCTGGAAGAGTCCGTTAGTTTTAGGAATCTATTTAGGGGAAAAGCTGAAGAGACATTTGTTATTTTATATTCATCAGAAAGGTTTATTTTTGTGCTTCATGCCTTTGTTTGTTTGGTTGTTTTTTTTGAGACAAGGTCTCACTATGTAGCCCAGGTTGGCCTCCAACTTTCAAACAGGTAATCCTCCTGCCTCAGCCTTCCGAGTGCTGAGATTACAGGTGTGCACTACCACACCCAACTCAGCAGATCTTTCAGGGATTTATCAATTTACTTTAAATCAATTGGAATGAAATTATTTTTATCTTTTAAATTGTACTTAGGTCTACCCATATGTAACTAGATTATAGACTCTTGAGACTCTTTGGCATTATTTCTTCTATTAAACCCTATTTTGTCTCTTTTTTTTGTTTTGTTTTGTTTTGGTTTTTGTGCCGCTTTGGAGGCAGGAGGCAGGCGCCAGGCGCTGAACCACTGAACTAAATCCCCAGGCCTGTTTTTGTTTTTGTTTTCTGGTATCCTTGTGCCTGCAAGGCAGGTGGCAGAACCACTGAGCTAAATCCCTGGCCCAATTAAACCCTATTCTGAATTCTCTACTCTTTCTTCTGTGTTCAGAGGATTTGTCTAAGTTGGATTAAAGACCTCCAGTAACAGTTGGGCATGGTTGCCATATTGGAAATGATGGTGGGTGCCTGTACTACTTGGTAGGCTGAGGCAGGAGGATCACTTGAGCTCAGGAGTTTGAAGCCAGCTGAGTGACGTAATAACATTCTGCCTTGAAAAGGAAAGAAAGGAAAAGAAAGAGTGAAAGAGGAAGCAAGCAAACAAGCAAGCAAGCAAGCTTCAGTGATGATATTCTTACCTCCTGAAGTGGCCTGTTAAATATATCAAAAAATTTATGGGGCCGGGGATTTAGCTCAGTGGTACTGCCACCTGCCTCAAAAGCCCAAGGTCCTGAGTTCGATCCCTAGCACCAAAAAAAAAAAAGTTTATGATGAGCTAATCCCTGTTTTTTTCTAATATCCTTGCTTTTGCCCCTACCCGTAATTTTTGTTGTGTTGTGTTGTGTTTTGAGACACGGTCTTCCTATGTAGTTCCAGCTGTCTTTGAACTCCCTATGTAGCCGGTCTTCCTATGTAGTTCCAGCTGTCTTTGAACTCCCTATGTAGCCAGGTTGGCCTTGAACTCATGGCAGTCCTCCTGCCTTAGCCTCCCAAGTGCTAGGATTAAAGGTGAATACCACCACTCCCAGCTTCCTACCTACAATTTTAAAATAAACCTGAGTATCTTCTACTTAAATTGACATCAAGTCTGGCCTCTCCTGTCTTATGTTGATTTTTTGAAAATAAGTATCAGACTTACTTTCATGCTTGTTAAATTTTATCTTGTCAGATTAAAGACAGACAGGCCGGGAATTTAGCTCAGTGGTGCTGCAACCTGCCTCGAAAGCACAAGGTCCCATGTTTGATCCACGGTACCAAAAGAAAAAGATTAAAGACAGAGTTCTAGCCTGTTAAGACTTTTTGGACCTGATTCAGTCTTTTTTTTTTTTTTTTTTGAGACAAGGTTTCTCTATGTAATTTAGTCTGGCCTTGAACTCACTAGATAGCCCAGGCTGGCCTTGAACTCATGGCAATCCTACCTCAGCCTCCCGAGTGCTGGGATTATAGGCATGTGCCACCACACCCAACTCAGTCATCTTTCATATTAGCTATTCCTCTTAAGTTTTGTGTCCGCTCTAGGTATGATAAATACATTAAAGTTATTTAAGATTTTTATTTTAGAGAAAAAGCCCTCTATGTTTGTGATTGCCTGTACAGTAAACAGAGTGAATGTCTTAGTTACTGTTTTCATTGCTGAGACAAAATACCCAACACCCACAGTTAAAAGAGGAAAGGTTTACTTAGCTCACTGTTTGTAGAGGTTTTAGTTCATAGGTGGCTGGCTTCAAGGCATGGTGGCATGACAGGAGCATCACAGAGGAGAAATAGTTCATGGCAGGCAGAAAGCAGCAGGCAGCAAGTGACAACCAACAACCCTCTTTCTGTCTCTTATATTTTATGCAGGCTACCTGCACTTAGGGCAAGTAGCACTCACATCCAGGGAGGGCCTTCCTATTATCCTCTCCCAGAACTATGTCAAACCAATCAGTGGAATCTAGTAAACACACCCTTGATCCCAGCATCACACACTCTAGATCCAGCTGTGTCTGAGAAGCCCTACCTATGACCACATAAGGCTTTGGGATGACATCTAGACCCAAACCATAACATTGTGCCTCTGTCCCTGAAAGACTCATGTACCTGCCTTTATGCAAAGGGCAATTAGTCCATCTCTTAAGAGTTGCCAAAGTCCTAAAAGTTTCATCATTGCGTTACTGAAAAGTCCAAGTTCAAAGTCTCTGAGATTTAAGGCAAACTCTTATCTGAGAGCCCCTGTACAGATGAAAAAAATGTTAAAACACTTCCAACATACAGTGGCACAAGATAAACATTTCCATTCCAATAGGTACAAATAGGAGGATAGAAAGGAATGAGAACAAAGCAAGTCCAAACTCCAGCAGGACAAACATTAAGTCCTGTAGTTCCATGTCCAGCATCTGAGCCAATCTGTGGTAAGATGTAAACTCCAGGGCCAGAGATTTAGCTCAGTGGTGCCCCTTCATGTCTCGAAAGTGCAAAATCCTGAG